TTGTTATAGCTACATAAAATATAAATAATCAAATTATAATAAATTGACAAAGCATTTTTTTATAGCAAACGTGACACATTTCGATCCAAGATTGTTAATTAGATATGATTGTAAACCTAAGTGAGATAGAAGTCAGGCTCACTTATTTCGAAATGATAAAAATTATACATTTAAATCGTATCTTTAAGTCCATTGACAGTTACTTTCAAATTGATAACGACATAAAAATGTTCGACTTATGTAGGAATACAGAATCAAAGAGAGGGTAGACGACGAAGAGTGTATTATGACGAGGAGCTGATAATATCGATCATAGAAAACTTTTCTTTTAAGAAAAATTTAAACGACGATTTAGATAATTAAAACTATCGTTAATTACCCTGAGACTTGCGCAGTATTAGTACGCAGATATAGGATTTTTGTGTGGGGCAATTCTTGGCAACAAGCAAAAACTATGTAAGCTACTCTGCTATCACATGTCACAATAAAATTTATTTAACGATCTTTATCTTAAATGTTTTTTTTACAGGACGGAATGTTATGATTATTTGCTTGACATTGCAGTTCAAATGATACAATATGGATTAGATCCGTCGACAACTCTAAATGATTATGAATTAAAGTACCTGCAGGCACATAGTAAATTAGGGTAGTCTGTAATATTAATATAAAATTTATTTTTCTACAATAATTCTGTGCCATGATGCCATAATTCTATGTATTTCTGAACTGTGTACATTTTTTTTTAGACATTAAACGTATATAAAAATTAAAATAAAAAGTAAATTATATATATACAATTTTAATTATAATCACATATTCCACATAGGTCTATATTCCACATAGGTCTATATACTATTGTATATGTATAAACGTTTATAAGACATAAATAATATGGATATTTTCAAATATATATGTCAAATGATGCAAATTGTTTTCTAATCTTCTTCGCTAGCTTGGTCTCTTGGCTCACATGACAATTTTTTCAGTCGAATCCATCTACATTTATTATATTTAATATTCTGTCGGATGCTAATACTTCTCTACCGAATTGTAATGGGAAGAGTCTTTCTTAATTCTTATTACAAGATTTTTCTATCCAATTATTCACATAAAGATATTTATAAAAGCACAAAAAGAATAGTTATCACCGCGGGTATTGATATGAGCAAAGTTTTAAGACACACACATCGTACAAAGTGGTCGAGCACTTAATCTATATAAATTCTTCTCCTGGAAGATCGGACACATATGCGAAAGTGCTTTGAATAAAGTAATGCTCCGCATTGTGTCTAACATTCTTAAATGTTTATTGTTAACATGTAGCTCGTTGTTTAGCGTTGAAGCTGAGAGGAAACACATCTTTTTCTTAATTACACAGAAAGGATTTTCTCTTACAATTTATCCAAAAAATCATGTTTTTATATTTCGGATTTGTTCTGCCCTGGTTTGTCAATATCAATCAGCACACAGTAGATCAAAGGTCAGTTTTTTACTTGAAGGTCTCTAATCACAATAATATCGAAAGGCGCTCCTCCCTCCCATCTTCGTTTCATTCACGATAAGATCTGCGCAACACATTGGGTGCGTTCAGCCGATACTCCGCTAGCCTAGCAATCGTGAGCAGTTGCTCGTTTTCGCTCGTTTCCTCTCTTTTGACCCAATGGATTAAAAAGAGAGGAAACGAGCGAAAACGAGCGACTGCTCACGATTGCTAGGCTAGCGGAGTATCGGCTGAACGCACCCATTATACTTACGACGCCGCTGCAGTATTGGACGATTGCGCAAGAGATTACGGGATTTCTGGCACATGCGTAGTAGCGTGTAGTGGTCACTAACACGTGATTATTTTACATGCTCGTATGTAGATTGTTTCGCATAAGGCGCTTCCAGGGCTACATTCCAGGGCGTGGAAAGAAGTTATAACGGTTGCAACGAATGTTATATTCATGTAATAGAGTCGACTGCAAACGCATAAACTATATTATTTAATTTCTAAAAACCTCCAGAGGTTATTTTCTTTAACACATATTATTCTTTAACATATATTATTCTCTTATTATAATTGGTCTGACGATACCTATATTTCAGTGAGAAATATACGCTACTAATCGTCTGTGGAACAGTTCGCGCTACTACGTGTCAGAATTCACGCAATCACACTTAACATTGCGCCGCGCTCGACGAAGTATCTTGTTTGTCTCATAGTCAGTTTGTCTGTTATACTGTCGTGTCATGATGGATTCGTCGTGGCTTTCGTCGCCCTTTGCGCTATTATTGATTACTCTTATCGTCATCGGCGTTCTGAAAATTGTCGCTGTGCTGCATCATTCATATTTTTACTGGAAGAATAAGGGTATACCTTACCTGCCAGATTCGCTATCATCTTTTATAACGGGTTGGAAAATGATTCTGGGTCGCATCAGTATCATCGATTATTATCAATATGCATATAATTACTTTCCGGATGCAAAATATGTTGGACTAATGGAATTTGGTACGCCTAACGTGCTAGTGTGCGATCCTGAGCTGGTCAAAGACGCCATGGTGAAGGATTTTGAATCCTTCCCGGATCATCGCAGTTTCGTCGACGACAGCGTGGAACCGCTATTTGGCAAGAACATCTTTTCCTTGCGCGGAGATCGTTGGAGAGAAATGAGGAATACATTAAGCCCCTCTTTCACCGCCAGCAAGATGAAGATCATGTTTGACCTGATATCGGAATGTTCTCACAATTTCGTTAATTACTTGGTCGATCATCCGGAAATCTGCCATGCAATCGAAATGAAGGAGGTCTTTAGACGATACGCCACCGACGTAATTGCTACGACAGCCTTTGGCATAAGTGTGAATTCTATGAAAGATCAAGACAATGAGTTCTATATAAGAGGAATAGAGGCTACCAAAGGATTTTCTGCTGGACCGCTAGGGATGGCTAAGATGGTCCTTCTTGAAATGTGTCCACGGCTCTCTAAATTAATAGGTCTGTCTTTTTTCCCGCCGGCTACCAGCAAGTTTTTCAAGAAAATCGTGGGGGAAACCATTAGAGCGCGGGAAGAGCAAGGTATCGTCAGACCGGACATGATTCATTTATTAATGCAGGCTCGGGACAAAGAAGGTCCCACTGTACATAAAATGACATTGGATGACATCGTTTCGCAAGCCTTTATTTTTTTCTTCGCTGGTTTCGAAACATCTGCGACGCTGATGTGTTTCGTTGCTCACGAGCTGGCAGTTAACCAAGATATACAAGATCGTTTGCGCGAGGAAGTACAACAGCATCTTGCCGAAGGAAACGGTGAGATTTCTTACGAGTCGCTGTCGAAGATGTCTTACATGGATATGGTGATCTCCGAGACTCTTAGAAAGTATCCGCCGGCGATCATGACCGATAGAATTTGCGTTAAGAAATATGAACTACCTCCGTCGCGACCAGGCTGCAAGAATGTGATCGTCGAACCCAACAATGTATTGACGTTTTTCATTTATGGTTTTCATCGTGATTCGAAGTACTTTCCGAACCCTGATAAGTTTGATCCCGAAAGGTTTAACAAGGAGAACAAAGACAAAATTTTACCGTACACTTATCTACCATTCGGTCACGGACCTAGACAATGTATTGGCAATCGATTTGTTCTCATGGAGGCTAAGATTCTGATAGCTCATCTTTTACAAAAGTTTACTCTGAAGACTACGGAAAAGACTGTCGAACCAATCGTATACGCTAACCACGAGTTTGCGTTGCAACCTGTTGGCGGATTCTGGATTGGCTTAGAGAAGAGAGAAACGTGAGATTCTTGTACGCAATACATTGTCGTACGATATGTAGCTGTGTTTGAAAAAACATTGCCGCATTTTCAACTTTCAAGATGTTCAACGCGTATGCACTTTGGAAGATAATTGTACAATATCCTTTTTTGCGATGTATTACGTCATTATGCACAAAGCAAATAACTAAGTCTTTGCTAGTAAAGAATAAGAAAATGAAATATTACGATAAACATTATGACTTGCGTAGACTGTCAAATCTACTTGATTGTGATCATTTTTAATCATTTATATAACTTCCACTTGTCGCTAAATAGTATAATAGGAATAATAGAGTCAAATCAATATTGTTAATTCTTCAAGTAAAAACGAATATCTCTATCGCGCAAATGTCTTTCGCACACATTTTTCTTTCGAAATTTATTATTAGTTCAAATATGTTTGTTGTAATTTATTGTAAATTTGAGCATTTGAGATGTAGTTTTTAAAATAAGTATAAGAAAACAATATCATTAATAGAGTCGATGCAGCACGCTATAATATTGCATATGTGTATTCATAATATTTTTCAATAATATTTTCTTATAAGTAAGTATTTTGAATTTCTAATAAATCAAAAGTGACTATTTTGTTATAGCTGTATAAAATATAAATAATCAAATTATAATAAATTGACAAAGCTTTTTTTTATAGCAAACGTGACACATTTCGATCAAAAATTATTAATTAGATATGATTGTGAACCTATGTCAGATAGAAGTCAAGCTCACTTATATCGAGATGATAAAAATTATACATATAAATCGTATCTTTAAGTCCATTGACAGTTAATTTCAAATTGAAAATGACATAAAAACGTTCGACTTATGTAGAAATATAGAATCAAAAAGAGGGTAGACGACGAAGAGTGTATTACGACAAGGAGCTGATAATATCGATCATAGAAAGCACTCCTTTTGAAAAGAATTTAAATGACGATTTAGATAATTAAAACTATCGTTAATTATCCTGAGACTTCCGCAGTATTGGTACGCAGATACAGGATATATGTGTGGGCAATTCTTGGCAACAGGCAAAAACTACGTAAGCTATTTTGCTATCACATGTCACAATAAAATTTATTTAATAATCTTTGTCTTAAATGTTTTTTTTTTTACGGACGGAATGTTACGATTATTTGCTTGACATTGCAGTTCAATGATACAATATAGATCAGATCCGTCGATAACGCTAAATAATTATGAATTAAAGTACCAGGCACATTAGTAAAGTAGGATAGTTTGTAATATTAATATAAAATTTATTTTTCTGCCATAATTCTGTGCCATGATGCCATAATTCTATGTATATTTGAACTATGTACATTTTTTAGACATTAAACGTATATAAAAATTAAAATAAAAAGTAAATTATAAATTTTAATTATAATCACATATTCCACATAAGTATATATACTATTGTATGTATGTTTGTTTATAAGACCTAAATAATTTGGATATTTTCAAATATATATGTCAAATGATGCAAATTGTTTTCTAATCTTCTTCGCTAGCTTGGTCTCTTGGCTCACATGACAATTTTCTCAGTCAAATCCATCTACATTTATTATATTTAATATTCTATCGGATGCCAATACTTCTCTACCGAATTGTAATGGGAAGAGTTTTTTTAATTCATTACAAGATTTCTCCATCCAATAATTTATATAGAAATATTTATAAAACCACAAGAAGAATAGTCATCATCGCGGATGTTGATATGAGCAAAGGTTGGGACACACACTTCGTCCAAAATGGTCGAGCGCTTAATCTATAAATTCTTTACCTGGAGGATCGGACACATATGCGAAAGAGCTTTTTGAATAAAGTAACGCTCCGCATTATACCTAAGATTTTTAAATGTTTATTCACATTTAAATGTTTCTTGTTAACACATAGCTCGTTGTCTAGCGTTGAAGCTGAGAGAAAACATATCTGTTTATTAAATACACCGAAAAAATTTTCTCTTACAATTTACCTAAAAAATCATGTTTTTATATTTTGGATTGGTTCTGCCATGGTTTGTCAATATCATTCAGCATACAATCAATCAATGACCAGTCTCTTACTTGACAATCGCAATAATATCTCTAATCGCAATAATATTTAAAGGCGTTTCTCCCTCCCATTTTCGTTTCATAGTTTCATTCACGATAAGAACTGCACAACACGTATATTTATAACACCGCGCCAGTATTGGGAGATTGCAGGATTTCTGGCGCATACGTATTTGTAGCGTGAAATAATCAACACGTGATTATTTTATATGCTTGTATGTAGATTGTTCTGGATAAGGCGCTTTCTGGGCTACATTTGCGCAGAAAAAAATTATAACGGTTGCAACGAATTTTGGTATTCATGTAATAAAGTCGACTGCATAGGTTTGATACCTATATTTCGGTGAGAATTATACGCTACTAATCGCCTGGAACGTTATCTATGACGTGTCAGAATTCCCGCAATCACTCAACACTGCGCTGCGCTCGACGAAGTATCTTGTTTGTCTCACAATCAGTTTGTCTGTAATACTGTCATGTCATGATGGATTTATCGTGGCTTTCGTCGCCTTTTGCGCTATTATTGATTACTCTGGTCGTCATCGGCGTCCTGAAAATTGTCGCTGTGCTGCATCATACATATCTTTATTGGAAGAATAAAGGTGTACCTTACCTGCCAATTAATCTATCAAATTCTATAACGGATTGGAAATTGCTTCTGGGTCGCATCAGTGTTGTCAATTACTTCCAATATTTATACAATTATTTTCCGGATGCAAAATATGTTGGACTAATGGATTTTGGCATGCCTAGCGTGTTAGTGCGCGATCCTGAGCTGATCAAAGACATCATGGTAAAGGATTTTGAATCCTTCCCGGATCATCGCAGTTTCGTTGACGCCAGCGTAGAACCGTTATTTAGCAAGAACATCACCTCCTTGCGCGGAGATCGTTGGAGAGAAATGCGGAATACATTAAGCCCCTCTTTTACCGCCAGCAAAATGAAGTTCATGTTTAACCTGATGTCGGAATGTTCTCACAATTTCGTTAATTATTTGGTCGATCATCCGGAAGTCTGCCATTCGATCGAAACGAAGGGAGTCTTTAGACGATACGCCACCGACGTAATTGCTACGACAGCCTTTGGCATAAGTGTGAATTCTATGAAAGATCAAGACAATGAGTTCTATATAAGAGGAATAGAGATTATCAAAGGATTTTCTGCTGGACCGCTAGGGATGGCTAAGATGATCCTTTTTCAAGCGTGTCCACGGCTCGCTAAATTATTAGGTCTGTCGCTTTTCCCGCCGTCTACGACCGAGTTTTTCAAGAAGATCGTAGGGGAAACCATTAGAGCGCGGGAGGAGCAAGGTATCGTCAGACCGGACATGATTCATTTATTAATGCAGGCTCGGGACAAAGAAGATGTACATAAAATGACCGTGGATGATATCGTTTCGCAAGCCTTCATCTTTTTCTTCGCTGGTTTCGAAACATCTGCGACGTTGATGTGTTTCGCTGCTCACGAGCTGGCAGTTAACCAAGATGTACAGGATCGTTTGCGCGAGGAAGTACAACAGCATCTTGCCGAAGGAAACGGTGAGATTTCTTACGAGTCGATATCGAAGATATCTTACATGGATATGGTGATCTCTGAGACTCTTAGAAAATATCCGCCGTCGATCATCACCGATAGACTTTGCGCTAAGAGATATGAACTACCTCCGTCGCGACCAGGCTGCAAGAATGCGATCGTCGAACCCAACCATGTATTGTTGTTTCCTATTTATAGTTTACATCACGATCCGACGTACTTTCCGAATCCGGATAAATTTGATCCGGAAAGGTTCAACGAGGAGAATAAAGACAAAATTTTACCGTACACTTACTTACCATTCGGTCACGGACCTAGAAAATGTATCGGCAATCGATTTGCT